GTCTTACGGGGGCCCAGGGTCTCTCAGCTGGTCCACCGTGCCCCGTGTCCTTGGCGGGGCTGACAGCCTCCCTGATGCTCTGCCCCGTTGCTCTGGCCCCGTGGCTGTTTGCAGAAACAGCTAGGTTAAGCAGTGGCAGCTGCCCGCCGTCCCTGGCCGCCCAGAAGAAGGCTGTGATCAAGATGTTTCTCCGGAGCTGGTGTGCTGCGCCGCCCTTGGGCTGGTGGCCTCCTGAGCCCCTAATCCCCTGTCTGGGCGGGCTGCCAGGCCTTGCCGGGAGCAGGCGGGGCCCGCGTGGCAGTGACAGGCTGAAGACTCAACTAGACTCACAGGCAGGGCCTCCGCCTGGGCGCCCGGGCACTGTGTGGTCCAGGCCGCCACCCCGGGACCCCTTCCTCCCTGGGCATGGCCCTGGGTGCATCACCGGCTCGCGGTGGACAGCTGTCCACGGGAGTGACCGGGGCTCTGTTCCCCAGAGGTCTGACCCACTGAAATGACAGAGGAGGAAGGGCCTTGGGAATCAGAGGTGTCTTTTCTGCCCTGGGTCTAAGTGATTGGACCCAGCATGCTCTGTACCCAAGGCGAAGGCACTGTTCCCTGGAGAGAGTGAGGGTGGGCGGTGTCTCCCGTCCCTCCGTCCGTGGAGCTGGCTGGCGGGAAGATTGTGAATCCTCTGCAGCCTCCACTGCCCAGACCCTCAGACATCCCGTAGGGGTGAGGGTCGCGTGTCATGCATCACCACCCTCTGTCCCTTGCGCCCCGGGGTTGTGCTGCGAGGGGTCTGGAGCGGTTTCGCAGTGTCTCCATTGCGGTGTCCTTGGGCGGCTGTCCCGCATCCTCGCCGGCCGTCGCCCTCAGGACCAGTGCTGGGATTTTTCTTAATAGAGAATCACTTAAGTGCAGTTTGGCATTTTATAATCTTTTGTGTTTAGTTTATTTTTTCATTGTGTTGAGATACATGTAACATGAAATTCACCATCTTACCCACTTCTCAGTGCACAGCTCAGAGGCAGTAAGCGCATTCACTGTCATGCGACCCTCCCCACCACCATCTCGAGCTGTCTTGTCTTGCCAAAGCCTGAAACCCTGTCCTCATGAAACACTGACTTCTCTGTTTATGTTGTATAGAACACAATTAATGACTGAAATGAAGTTTTCGCCTTTTGTCTTAAAGGGAAAAGGAAATATTTGATAACCAGCTCCTGGAAGCAAGGAATCGGCGTTGCTGAGGCTGGAGGAGGCTGTGCTCGTGCCTGGGAGTCCCGGGACCGCGGGCTGGGCAGTGTTTTCCTCCCTGTGTCTGTGGGGTATCTTTCTGGCTCTCCTGGAAGTTACAGTTCCTGGAGGGTTTTAAAGGACAAAGCTGCATTTTTTTTTTATTTCACTTCAGTGGCTGTGCCTGTGCTGTATGCGTTCATAGAAGGTGCACATTTGTTTTTTATGTTAAAAAGCATCGTATCCGACATTAAACAGGAGTTTTAGACAGACTCTGGTACAAGCCTACAGTTCCCAAGACATCAGCGTAGTTCGACTGCCTCCGTGCTCCATGCCTCTGACTCATTCCAAGGACAGCCGGTGTTAGTCAGGGTCAGGCAGAGCCTCAGACCCGCTGCTTTCCCGTGTCTGGCCTCCGCTGTGGCCCTTGAGCCGAGTGCAGGCCGAACCCGAATCTCTCTGCCTCTTTCCACTCGGCCCCGGTGCAGGGACTGAGCCTGGCCACCCTCCTGGACAGCTGAGACGGCCCCACGGTGAAGGCATGTGCGGCCGGGGCCAGGTGCAGCCAGGGCAGACACGAGCACACCAGCCCAGGCCCAGC